CGTTGACAATCCCTGCTTGTATTGTATTGACCCATCGATGAGATTCATGGGACTGACAATGATTTACAATGCAAAGTATTTTTTGGGACCCACAAAATTTACAAATTATTCCCCATAAAAAAAATAATTCTTACTTATCAAGGAGTTAAACAAATTTAAATTCGACCAAATCAATATAAAAAATTATAAATATTTAAGATACCTAATGTGGCTCTCGAAGGCAAATGTTTGAAATACATAGTTACCTTGGTATTTTCAGCTTGGCTTTTACATTGCGTTAACTAAAATGGAGCACCATGCATCAGCTATTTCTCTGTCCTTCAGTAAGCGAGCTTTCCAGAGTTGAGCTTCGGACCTGCATGCCATCAGCGCTCCTTGCAGCGTGGATCGGTCATTCCTGAAGACAATATTATTTCTCCTCTTCCAAATATGCCAGCAGCATAGCAGTACAAAGGTTTGGAAATGCTTTACTGGAATGTGTGTTGGTGCCGTGATCTCTTGTACTTTTATAACTGACCAGCTGGGATCGGTTGTAATCTGAATAGCCTCCCAAAATTCCCTGGCAGCGGTGCAGCCAAAGACTACGTGAGCCGGCGTCTCATCCGTCCCATGACAGACATCGCACTTTGTGTTTTCCACAATCCCCTTCTTGGTCAGATTAGATTTGCACTATATCCTTCCTTGTGAGAGCAGCCATGCAAAGAATTGTACTCAAGGTGGCGCCTTGTTGTTCCAGATAAATTTTGCCCAGGCATCCGGACTGGAGTCGGCACTTCCAGTTGTCTCAATAGAAATGTTATTATGAAAGGATTGATGAAAGAATCCTGGTGACTCCACTTCATTTGGGAGCTGCAGCCGCAAAGCTGCATTCAAGATTAGTGCCCTAGCATAAAGAACCGAAAAGCTGGCCCCAAGGTATATATGAAGAGTTGCAGGACAACATGATAATAGTTAAGAAGCTTTATGTTAGCTATAATCGCTAAAGAAAAAGGAGCCTTCATTTAGTATAGTTTGATCAGTTCCTTTATGCCGAAAAAATCAGAGTGTGTGAGCTGTGAGCCCACCTAATATTCAGATTTCAGAATGAAAATGTCTTTCTAAAATTATTTTATTATTTTATTTACTTTTTATCTTCCATTTGATGCTCTCTTATGCCTTCGAGTGTAATTAGCATATGAGCTGAAAGCTATAAAAACTTGCTGTGTGCAACCAATCGCAGAGGCCGGAATTAACCTTTTTTTTTTCTAAAAAATGATTTATTTTTGCTGCGTAGAACTTCAGATCTCTAACCAGTTTATCAAGAAAGACGAGAGCGAGTCTACGAACTGGACAAGACAAGCAATTCATCACCCCAAACTGAAGTATTTACATTAGTTGAACTAATAGCAGTGTCAATCTTTGATACATGAGATGCATATACAAACAAGGCCCATTTCTTATTCTCCAATCACCATCACCATATGGCAATTTTGCAGCAAGGAGTCAAGAACAATCTGTTGTTCTCCACCGAGCAGCAAATCCGATCCTCAAAATGATCGGATCGCACACACACGAATCCCACGCCTGGAAACCGAAAGCCCCTCTTCTTTTTCTGTTGATATCTACTACAACCTCTACCACTTGGATTAGCAGCACGAATGGAACGGCGAACCGTTGGGCGTTGGCGATCAAGAACAGCAGTTAGCGCAGCGTACCAATCCGTTCTCGTTGCACTCGCCGCAGCGGACGACGCGGTCCTCCTCCTCGACGAACACCTTGCGGCCGCCGCCGCAGCCGGTGCAGGGGACGAATCGGACGCCACCGCAGGCGTCGCAGACGAAGGCCGGGTCCTGCCCGGCCGCGCCGTCGAGGAGCCGGCGGAGCTGGCCGGTCTCGTTGAGCTGCCGCACCTCGTCCGCGCCGCCGACGAGGCGGCCGCCGATGAACAGCTGCGGGAGCGCGAAGGCGCGTCCCCGCGCGGCCAGCAGCGCCTGGAGCTCCCGGCGGAGCGCGGCGTCCATGGACACGTCCCGCTCGTCCACGGCGACGCGGAAGCCGCGCAGGATGGCGCGCACCGCGGCGCAGTCCGCGAACGTGCGCCGCACCCCGCGCAGCGACGTCGTGTACAGCACCACCGCCTGCGGCCGCTGCGCGCGCGGCTCGTCCGCGAGCTGCTGCCGCCGCCACCTGGCCGCCGACGCCGCCGGCCGGTGCCCCTGGTGGTGGTGGTACGTCAGCGACCGCGTCAGCTGGAACGGCTTCTTGCCGCCGCCTCCGGCCGCGACGCCGCCGCAATCCTCCATCTCACGCGCCGCCGCCAGCGCAGCAGCACCGGCCGCCCGCGCCGCAGCCAGGTTCTTTGGCTATGGCGGTTACCGGGTGGCGAGGAAAGGGGGGAAGGAAGACGAAGAGGAAGCGAGCTGTGCAAGCAATCGACGCGAGAAACGGAATTCGTCGGGAAGGAAGGTGGGGTGGGGGGCACGAGAGCCGCACTCTATATGTTTTCTTGTGGTGGTGGAGATTTTGACGGCTTTCTTGTTGGGGTTTTCTTGGTTTTCGACGTTTTGGTTTGGTAATTAGCAAAGCGATTAGGAGATGGTTATTTGGTATTTATTAGTACTAGAACTAGTGATTATTTGTGTGATTAATGGTTTGCTGATTAGGAGCTGGAGGCTGTTTAGAGTTGTACTGGCAGAAACTAACAACCTTCTTCTGTTTGTGTTGCTTAATTTTGAAGAAATGGTTTCCTTGGTTAGTTTTAGTGGTTGTTAGTTAATTTTAGTGTGTGTTTTTAAACGAATTTCGGTGGGCTTTGGATGATGGAGTTGGACCCGTTAGCTGTTAGAAGAGGCGGCTCCGGGGCTGGGTGAAGTGGGCGGCCGTGGCTTGTACAAACGGGCACAGGAAAGTTCCACAACGTGTTGTCGCTCAGCTGAGCGTGAGGCTGCCATTTTCTTCCTTTTCTTTTATCTTTCTTCCTCTTCATGTTTTTTAAGTGAACCATAATTTTTTCGTGTACAAATAGGCACAGATAGAACTAGGCTTCATTACTCTGCATTTTGAATCAGGAACATTAGTACAGGGGAAGGGTTCATGGGCATTCTACAGATTTAGAAACATGAAATCCCACACAACTGCAAATGTTGGAGAGCATAAGCTGTAAGGGAACATTCCATGGTCCTGGATCATGGACCAACATGAATGCAACCGTCTCCATAAGTTCTTGCTCCTTTGCCCCCAGATCACGTGTAATCCTAGCTGTTTTTGATCAATGCGACTCCATCATCGGCTGATGCGGTTGCGTGTAAGCGTGTTGGTACTAATAAAATGGATTTCATGATGCAGCGTTGGCAGCTGGAGCTTCATTCAGGCCTCTCTGAGATGATGACTGAGCAATGACCGTCTTTCGCTGCGGCACTGCAGTTGGCTCGACAAACTTAGACAACTAATAGGTAAATTTGAAGGTTGGGATTTGCTTAAATATGTCGTTTTTTCTTGCAAAATGTATCCAACAATTCAGAGAATCTGAGGAATATGTGAGAAAAATAGGGAAAAGAGGGAGACATCTGAAATTTCAACGTGGAAGGTGTGTCGTCACAGACAGTTCAGAAGACAGCTGATTGCTGAACACACGAACGAGGAGTCGACTGTCGAAGACGACCACGAAACTGTCACCAGATACAGAAGATAATAAAAATAAAAACAAGAATAGTTCAGCGAGACCTTTGCTTTCTCGTTCTTGTTTACGGCTGATTTGGTCGTTTCACGCGGTTGCATGCGTTCGTTGTACTTTTCAGCAGGTATATAATTGTATAAACTGAGATCAGATGACCCATCTGGCTTGTGTGTTTTTTTAATTGAAAGATCACAGCAACAAGTGTTCTCTTCAAATCTAGATTTGGAAAATGCAGCAACAAGGGTCTATTTGTGGGAAAGAAACGTACTGATATTTAATCTGATCCAGCATGTTGTTGAAAATGAAGACTCAACCTTTTAATCCTACAAAAAGTACCTTTTGCAGCAAGAACAATTAAAAAAATTCACGTCAACATGTGAAAACGTCAATGCCAACACTAGACACGGTAGAGAGCACCCAAAAATCTTTCCTTATTTTTTTTGGAAAACCAAAAACAAGTTTCCTTGTCAATAAGGAAAAAAAAGGCAAAACCTTTGAAAATTCTGGCAAGATCCATCGACAATCCTTTTCTCTGAATGCAACACCTGTGTGCAACTCCATGTTGAAAGCAAAAGGGCAATCAAACATTCTGTCTTGCAGAGAGAGATAGGACAAGGCACGGGGTTATTGAAAAAAAAAAGAGTAAGCCAGGGTTTGGTATAAATTGGAGCATATCTTGTAAGCAAAGCTACAGGGACCGAAAGCTCATTCACTGAATCAACAGCGCAACAAAAAGGCGAAAGAAAGATACAGGTAATGGGCCATTCAGATGAAGTGGCAGATAATTCACGGATTGAGCTGTTTAGATCATTACATGAGATGAGACACATACATGCTTTCTTTCCGCACATCTTCAGGCTCAAGTCACCACTAGAACTAGAAGGCAGTGTCGTCTATTCCTCTGTATGAGTAGGCTTGCAGATTATTGTTTATGACTATCATTTCATTTGCATGTTGTTTAAAGGGAAAAACCTGCCGAACCTAACAAAAAGTACCGAGTCATGTGAGGTTCAGATGCCATGCCACGTACTACGATTGCAGGCTAACCGGTTCAGAGAGACAATCATATCTGACAAGGAAAGTATATATATGATGGTGATGAAGGTAATTAATTAATTATTACAAGAGAGGTATGATGGTTAGCCCAGTTACTTCCCGTTGATCATGACAGCTAAAAAGGCCGAACCTGATAAACGAGTTGGGCTTTATGGTAAGTCCTGTTAGAGTTGCCAGGCTGCGGGGCATATATATCTGCGGGCCGGGACTGCGGCTTTCCTCCTTCCTTGCGAATTGAGTTCCCTTCTCTTCTGCACGTGCTCTGGTCTCGAGAGGAAACAGGCGATCGATGGCGTCGTTGGAGGAGGAGCGTAATAGGATCCTGAATCTCGAGTCGGAGGAGGATCGTAAGATCCTGATGAAGGTCAAGTCGGAGGAGGGAAAGATCCTGAAGCTCAAGGAGTACGCGGCGGCGGCCCTGGCGGGACTGCTCCCTACCACGGTTCCCACGGTGATGGCGGCCCAGCCAGCCGGGAAGAAGACGAGGAAGGTGCTGGTCAAGAGGTTGGTGACGATAACGAAGGCGCAGATCGATTTTATCAAGGCAATGGCCACACATCCCTGCCCGACCAGGAACCTCTGCTGGCCATGCATCCCAAGAGTTTCCAATACAGCTACCGCCAAGATATTCGCATCAGGAACACAAGGCTTGCCTACCTGGATGCCCTCATCTACCAGCAGGAAAAATTTGGCTACGCGGTGGACGAATCGGAGGCCGAGGTCACCGACGACGAAGGCGAAGACGACGACACCTAGCTGAAGGCAGCAATTAAAGACCTGATGTCAATAATTTACGAGCTAGGAGCCTGTGTGTCAGTTGGAGCCATGCCGTTTCCTTCTCATGCTATGCATGGTATTAATTAAAAAATGCTAGTTTTGCAATCGTATTTGAATCGACGATGTATTTTGTGCTATCGAACCACAGTTGCTATTTATTAAAAATGCTAAGTTTTGCGATCGTATTGGAATCGATGAATGTCTTTTGAGCTAGTGAATCACAATTGTTGCTGATTTATCGAGATTACTGATCTCTCTATTGTCTTTCATACACCTCAACCACACTGGGTGTAACTACTTTTGCCACATGCTGTTCTTTTTATGTATGTTTTGTTTGTTTGTTTCTGTTTGTCAATTGTATTGGTACCTGTCAATTCTCAGTTCTTAGCCCATCATGTTAATCAATTCGTCGTCCGACGATCGTGAGTTATCCAGCGCTCCATCACCAAAGCACGCATTCCTAGTGTTTGTGCATATATCTTCTATTGATCCTGCCGACAGTACTATATATAAGGATTGACCTGATAATCCCCATAAGTTTGGATGTGGTAAACGAGTATAATAACACTGAAAATTCTGAAATCCCATTGCTGCTATTCTGTTGGAAACCTTTTAAGGTTGTATCAGCCAGACAGCTACTCCGTTCATTGTTCAGAACCTCATCTGACCTCTTTACTTTTGTCTGTGCAATGACATTAGGAGTTGACTGCATCTTGTGTTACTGTTGTATTGTTTCTGCACTCATCATTTTCCCTTGTGTTATATATACGTATATGCAGTCATGTTTACACATTTGAAAATAAGACTCCTTGAGCCACAAAATGGCCGTTCCTCCAAAGCATAACTTCAACTGGTACTGATATCTGCCTCAAGCCTACTCGTTTTTCAGAGACATGAGCCGTCACCGTCAGTTATCCGGAGCAGGTCCCCATATGGATGTGCCGCACGCATGCAACAAGTTATACAGTCACTGTACTGACGACATTCCAGTGGCACATTGATCGGTTGAGCCATGCTCTCTTCCATGGCTCCCCATCCATAGAACTTTCCTCGGAAGGAATCATGGACCATGGCACTCCTCCATCCATGGCTGCCTGCCCTGCTTGTTTCGTCCGGTGGCCATGGCATCAGTTCATGAGTCGTCAACGTCGCGTCGCCTCGCCCAGACATCGATCTACACGGCATTGCCTCCTCACGGCCATGCCCGCCTCTCGTACCGTGCAATGCATATGGCCATATGCCATTGCTGATCCATACGGAGCCGTACAGGAACACCTCTGCTGAAATGAATATAGAAGGTATGCTCGTGCTGTTGTGGCTACAGAGATATGTTGTTTATCAAATACGACACGCTTGCAGGAAGGAACATCCAGCTTGTTCATCTTGCAGGACAGCACAAGACATATGATGTAGTTGTCTGTATCAAGTGTAGCTTTGAAGCTTCAGCAACAACAATATATCCACAACTCCACAACAATTGTGCTATCACATATTTGGCGTCTGCTACATCAGTGTTTGAGCATCATCATTCATATACAGGACTAAAATTTCAATTGAGTCATCATCATACAATAAACATCCTTACAGCATCTAAATAGCAGAGTGTGGGTCAACCAGGGCAAAGTAGGCCTCATCCAACTTCCGGATATCCAAATGATTTGTAGAATGGTTTTGAGCACCTACTAACCTGCACCATATAGAACACAGATCATGACATGTCAAAATGTAAATGATACACCGTGGTGTCAAACAACTATTTGAAATATATATAACCACCCACCTAATTCTCACCGTTTGATATAACCGTACCTCATTCAGCACATTACCTCAGCAAAAAAAAAAAAAAAAAAAAAAAAAAAAAAAAAAAAAAAACATGGAAGCAATGCAAGTATCCAACAATTCCATCACGTAAACAAAAGATATATTTCACCCCTATTTACAGAAACTGAAACAAACTAACACCTATTGTGCCCGTCGCTGCAACTTTGTTGCGTCCAAATGAGAACATGCGTTTCTTTGATCTATTACATAAACGCAGAACAAAAGGGCACAAAACACATCGAGAGGGAGGGGGATAACTGAACCATATTTCATTATATTGCAATGTAAAACATAATACATGTATTGAGATTGAACTATAGATCATTGTTTAGATGAACTTTTCTAAATGACCCCAACTTTTCTATTGGATCACAAAACTGAACCGACAAAACTTCCTCGATTAATCCTCGTGGCAGTTCACGAGACACCATGTATTTGTTTTGCTGTGATGGTGTCAGAAGGATATTCAGTGTAGCTGTTAACAATTCCCCGCGTCGCCTCTGGAGTCCTGGCATTACCTTTGAGGCACAGAATTCAAAACTGCGATCCAGGTCAGGTTTTCCTCTTTATTCCTTTTTGTTATGGAAAAAAGAATTTCAATTCCGATGGAGTTCCTCCATTTGTAACTATATGGAAGCTGAATTTCACTGGGAACAGTTATGCCAAAATGGACAAGGTTTTCGCATCATCTACTTCCTTCAGCTACAGCAAAGGTCCATGCCCAGTAGTAAAATGACTAGGATGAACACCACGTTTTGGCCTTTCATTACCATACCGTCTCATTTCAACTGGACCCCAACCAAGAATACCTGCAGAACTACTAGATTCCTGCAGCCTATTACCATTTGTCATAATTGGAGGTTGATACAAAGGCTGGGTGTCAAATTGATTATCTGGGTCAGCTCTCCGTCGACGCTTCCATGCTTCAGAACTTCCAGAGCTCTCATTATTATGGAAAGACTCAGAATTGTACTGGAGAGGCCTAGTTGGCCTTTGGTTTCTCGAAGGATGAAGTTGATTTGAGTTACCTCCCTTATTGGGAGGAACGGATGCAAAATTGCCACCATGAGATGGGCCAACTCCACCTTCCAGTTGGTCTTGACTAAGTTTCAAATAGAGATCATGCAGTTGCTCCCCAGACATATTTGAAAAGGTGGCAACATAATTCCATAACCTCATGGTCATGCCTGCGATCAATAAAATAATTTAGACAGGATCTATCAAGGGATCCAACTATATGCCATTCAAAATTGTCTGCACAATGTTAAGACAGAGAGTCTTGTCTGGAGACTGATAATGGAGAAGGGAACATATTCACTTACGGGATTGCCTATAAGATTCACTGTGTTGCCGGACAACTTCTCCAATTTTGTCCCCAATTATCAGGAGATACTTGCGAATTCTTGAAAGAACCTAAAGACAGTAAATTAGGGTAAGATTTGGGTCGAAAAGCAGTTTGAGAATATATTGTCCACAGAAAAAGCAGATACCTTTTCCTTTGGGAGGTTTACACTTGTATTCTGCAGCCTATCCAGGCGCTTCAAAGTATCCTGCTCCTCATCTAAAACTTCAGAGCACCATTCAAGCCACTTCTCCTCTTTGTCCAGACGATACTTTGTCTCTGCCTCCGATTCAGAAATTTCACCTTCTTCTCTTGCTTCAGCTTCCACTATTACCTTGCGCTTCTGAATGTCATCTTTGTTCGGCTTATTATCCTCTTTTTCTGGTACATCCTTTTGTCGGCCCCTCATTGATCGAGCTCCACTATTACTGTCGTTATTGACTGTCTGGCGGGCATTTCCTTTGACTTTTGAGCTCTTACCACTAAACTTAGCATATTCCTTGATAAATACAACTTCTTGTCAGCATAATAGAATGCAAAAAAAAAAAAAAAAAGTAAAGCATGTAGAATATGCAATTGTTGTAGTAAACAAAGGCATGAAATTCAAGGTGAAACATTCATTTATACTCTTTCAAAATAAACTCAAAACATCTCGAAGCAACTAAAACATGTGAAGCAAACAAATAAACAAATTGCTGTTCTTGATTGTCAAATTGGCTACAGCATTACAAATGCATCATTATAAAATAGTTGGATTAGAAAAAAAAAAAGGATAATTCGTTTAAACAATCCCTTAAAATTACAATCTCAAGGTAAAACCTAAACGCCACTCTACTTGAGGATTGCAATTCAATAACAGTTCAAAACCTGAACTCACTGAATGATCAGAACATGATAGAAGGGTTCAACTATTAGTAGTCCATAAATTAGATAATCACACACTTGAAACCAAGAAAAGAACAATGTACAGAAAGTTAACTGATCCCATGTACATTAAAAAATAAACCGGAGGTTCACCTCCAGTTCAAAAGAGGTACCTTTTGCAGGAGAGCACTAGCGCGGTTATCCAAGTTTGGAGCACGTGGTAAAAATGTCTCTCTCTCACCAAGTGCTCCTGGTGCAATTTTTGTTGCCAGGCCAAGCTTTGGATCCAACCGTATTTTCTCCCAATTCCCGTAGCCATACCAATGAATTCCAACCATCAATCTAGCATCATCAGCTACGACCATACAAGAAACAGACTATAAGATCCCAATGTTTTATAGAATGTCTAAACAACTAGGGTTGAAATGCAATTACTTTCAGTCCATCCACAGCTTGCAGACCACTGAGGCTTTTTAGTAAGGTAGCTGGATGCGGTATTGCTTGATTGGATCTTTGTAACGTGCAATTCGCTTTGCCAAGAACTGAAGCTCTTCAACACGAGCTAGCAATTCGTAGGCCTTCACTGCTACACCGAAAAAATCCAAAACTGTGCCCTATATTGGAAGTGCACAAGTGAACTTAACAAAGGTGATGTCACGAAATACTCTTTACAGTTAATGAAAAGGAGAGAGTTATTACCTTGATATCCGTATTCTCTTTAACCGCTTCCTGACAACCATCAATCAGCAAATCAAATAGCTCTATTTGCGCTTCATGTGGTGCCTTCGCAAGTACACCACCAACATCATCCACGATTAATCCAATCTGGGTTGCATTCCCAAATTTTTTGACCTAAAAAATTTCACATATCAGGGTGAGAGTACATCAACACACATATTGCCTCACAAACAATGCCAGATGAAGTGCAACCAAATCAGACTAACTGATCCCATAGAAAAACTTTCCATGAAAAAACTTGCAAAATCGACTGGCAATTACATGCCAATAGAATTGGACTAATATAGTTACTTGTTCTATAACCATCATAATGCAAAGTATTACAATATCCTATCAAGGCATCAACTCAAAGCAAAGAAGATGATGCAATGACATATTGATAGCATGCTTCCAGGCACTTGTATATACAATTAAAAATCAATTATGAGAAGTACACGATTCAACTGAAAAGACAGAAAAACGATAGATAGATTTAACGTGCATATTACCGCTCGTACAAAACGAGAAGCGTCCTTCTTTAGAACATTACCAAAAGACCACTCTCGTACTTGAGCTACTGCTCCATCAACCAATGGTAATGAATTAACTGTTTCCACAGTTCTGCCAGAACGCCTCCTTGGCTTTTCTTGTGCTTCAACTGCCCGTCTTTTCCTGTTGTTATTATTTTTGTCAAGCTGGGGATCTTCAACATAGCTCTTTTTATTTCGTGCAGCACGAGGTGCCAAGGTTTCCTGAAGAATACCAGTCATCACTATCTGATAATGTTTACAGAAAGAAATGACGAAAGCAGGTTATAATAACTGGGCAAACTAGCTAGCCAATCAATACCTGAATCATATCTGCAGGATCTGGCTGTATCAGCCTACTCCAGAATGTTGCATCATCTTCGCCACTGGAAAAGTTTGCGACCTACACAAAATATGAAGAATAATAAATGTGAATACAGAATAGTTCCTGCTCAGCATCAGTAACTTGGGTATAGCATACACATCACATGCCTTGAAAGCACTAAGAAGCTCATTTCCTTCCTCCCCTTCACCACCCTTTGTCTCGACTTTCTCAGCTCTCTCAAGAATTTCATCAATGTCCAAACTTTCAAGGTTCCTCTTGGTCTCTTCATCAGTCTTGTCTTCTTTGAACAATTCCTCTGCACCGAACCTCAAGATAGCAGAAAGTTCATTCTGCCGAGTGATGCAGCTTACATCAGAATAGTAAAACAGCATAAAAGAGAAATAGAGAGGGAACAAGAAAATAAAGTATGTATCTTTTTTTTACCTTCTCACAAGATTATCATATCCTGATAGAAGGTAAAAGGAACAAGCAAATGCATTTAACTTCTAAACTGAACAAAAACTAATATGATAGACACTTCAATTTTCAGCATTTGTTAAGCTGTATGAAAATTTCTTTAAGCAACATGTTACAACTTGTTTCAACCAGAAGCTACATTCAATGGCCATCCAATACAAAACTCGGTAATGAATCTTGTAAACGACCCAATACAAAACTTCTAGGGTAATTCACGCCGAAAAGTTAGCCTAAAACAATTAAACAAGATAGTCGAAACCAAAACCTACCTTGTCAAATATGGAGCCACCCTTTTTGGATTCTTTCTTCTCAAGCCTGCCCTCAGCATTTAGCTTCTGAATAACCAAGTGATCAAGAACCTGAAATAGGGGAAAAAATAGATAAAAAGAACAGTTCAATAATCCTACTAAAGAATACATGAACTATGCAGTTTGACAACCATCTTTTTCTTTGCGCGTTCCAAAATATCCTCTTCAACACTTTTGCATGTGACGAAGCGGTAGATATTAACAGTCTCCTGTTGGCCAATCCTATGTGCCCTACTCATGGCCTAGCAAGAAACGAGCCATATTAAGAAACATAGGAAAGATAAGTAAATTTTTACAAATTAAACACACACACTCACTTCCAGGAGGGAGGGATGGAGGGAGGGAGAGAGAGAGTGGGTGAGTGATAGTGAGAGGGAAAAACCTGCAGATCATTTTGCGGATTCCAATCTGAATCAAAAATTATCACTGTATCTGCAGTTGCAAGATTAATACCAAGTCCTCCGGCACGTGTGGATAAAAGAAAACAGAAGTCATCACTTCCAGGAGCATTAAAATGTTCCATGGCTTGATGACGAAGATCTGCTCTTGTACTACCATCAAGCCTCTGAAACTGAAATCCCCGAAGAGAGAGGTATTCTGCAAGGATGTCCAACATCTTAACCATCTGCAAGGAATCAAGAAGTAAACCACATGAGGCGCAGATGCTTCAAAAAATATTTTGCTTCCCAATATATTGATGTTAGCACAATAAGAAAATAGTTATGTAATGTTTTAACTTGAAGCAAATCACGCCCAAGATTCTCTTAAAAGGAATCTACTCAATCACAAAGAGAACTGCCCAAGATTCTCTTAAAAGGAATCTACTCAATCACAAAGAGAACTGCCCAAGATTCTCTTAAAAGGAATCTACTCAATCACAAAGAGAACTGCCCAAGATTCTCTTAAAAGGAATCTACTCAATCACAAAGAGAACTACAGAAATAGAAAAGAATCAGTACGGCGAAATAAGTAGAAATTTTTTCCACAACAGCCGAGACGAATTTCATTACCATGAAGAAACGAAATTAGATTACAATGTTTAAGTTGGAGCCCACAGAGTTACCGAGAAAAATAAGCAAGTTACTGAGCCTCTGAACATGAAGGGGTCATTGAGCTAGGCAAACACCAAACAAATTCATTGTTTTGGTTTCCAAACGCCTGTCATTTAGAAATAACTAAAGTTCATTCAAGCATTTTTATTTGGTTTCCAATTCTTGTCATTTTGAAACATTTTCCAACAAGTGTCCCTCTGAATGCCTCTTCGCCATTGTCATAAAATCATTGTATAGTGAAAAAATCTACTTTTTTACTGAAGAAAGTACATTGTTAAAATCAGTTTTATTTCAGTTTTCCAATTTTTTTGTTACTATATCATGATGTTGATATATTCTGGCAACCAGCTGCCCCTAACTTAAGTTTCTGGTTCTACCACTAGCAAAGCTCAAGGACTCCCAAAGGTGTATTCGGCAGGTTGACATCCAAATAACACTCACTTTTTTTGCTTTCTCTCTTAGGCACCCATAGTGCTGATTTGAACCAAATCAAACCGCACTGAAGGGCCATTCAGAATTGATTTGGTTATAGGTTCATACCTCTAGAAGTCTAGAATTGTGCTCGTTTCGTGGGGCCGCAGCAGAGAAAAAAAAGAAATCAAATGTTACCACTATCTAAAATTTGAATAACCACATCATGTGGTGATAAAATGGTAGATACAAACCTGTGAGAATATAAGCACACGATGGTTAGTCTCCCGCAGTCTCACCAATAGTTTGTCCAACAAGACAAGTTTCCCACTACTCATAACAATGCGTTCAACTTTATTCCGATCACCAATGCTATCTCCACCATAACCATGATCGGCACTTTCAAACAAGAATGGATGGTTGCAGCATTTTTTCAATTCAACAACAATGTTAAGAAGTGATACCTGCATATGCCACGATCAAGTCAGTCACATAAAACATGATAGCAAGACAGTAATTTTTTGGAGAGCAGATTTGGCTATGCCTTAAGAATAATTGTTGCCAAACACACTAATTATTTGGAATTAGTAGATCAGAACATGAAGTTATTTTTTTGAAACAATGAACATGAAGTTATAAACAATCAATCCTTGCCCACATGGGTGTTAGAATAGGCGCCTATGGGCTGGTCATGAGCCTGGCACCCAAGCCTATCAGCTGGGCTGCCTCTAGGGATTATGGTAGATGATTATTGATTAGGCAAGGATCACCGTTGATTGGGTGTTTCTATAAACCCTTCCTGATCCTTGCCTATATAATGTACTCCCTGTACCCATATCAATCTATCACAATTTCCCGAGACCTATTCGCTCTCATGGTATCAGCCGCCTAGGTTTAGGTCTTCCGAATCTCATCTCTGTGCGCCAATTCACTATCGACAACAACTGTTCTGTTGAGTTTGACCCCGCTGGTTGTTCTGTGAAGGTTCTTCCATCTCGGACCGAGATCGTCAGGTGCAATAGCTCCGGGCCGCTATATCCACAGCGCCGGTGTCACCTCCTCAGGCACCCTGCGGGCCCCCGCCCGGGTTCCCGCCTCTTCGTCTAGACCGCGCCTTCGCCTACCACTACACGCGCCGGCCTCGACCACGACTTTGCTCCAATCGCTCTGTCACCGCCGCCCGGTTTGCACTCACATTACCGCCCAAGCTACTTTGCACTACCAAGCGCCATTCCCATCGCCTAAAGGGGTCATCATCGTTCCTCCCAGTGACCAACCAAAGACGCCATGGGCACACGTTCGAAGAGCGGTTTTCGGATGCCTGCTGCGTACCACGCTATGTCTGTCACCGATACCGAAGACCTTCCGTAGCGCTCTTGCCGACCCCATGTGGCGAGCTGCAATGGAAGAGGAACACAGTGCCCTGCTGAAGAATCACACTTGGGATCTCGTGCCTCGACCCCCTCGGGACAACGTCGTCACCGGCAAGTGGATCTTCAAGCACAAGTTTCAGTCTGATGGCTCCCTCGAAAGGCACAAGGCGCGCTGGGTTCTCCGCGGCTTTACCCAGCGGCCTGGTGTGGACTTTGATGAGACATTCAGTCCGTGGTGAAGCCTCCTACTGTTCGCACGGTGCTCTCCCTGGCTCTCTCTCGCTGCTGGCCCATCCACCAGCTTGATGTGAAGAACGCCTTTTTTCATGGCAACCTGACCGAGACAGTTTATTGTCGTGACCGTGCTGGTTCAAGATCCAAATCATCCGCACTATGTTTGCCACACCAAGAAGTCACTATATGGCCTCAAGCAGCCCCCTCGTGCTTGGTACAACGCGCATGCCACACACTTGTCATCCCTTGGGTTTGCTTGAAGCCAAGTCGACACCTCGCTATTCGCTTACCGGTCTTGATCGATACGTACCTACCTGTTGCTCTATGTTGATGACATCATCCTCACAGCCTCCTCCACCGGCCTTCTTCGGCGGATCATCTCAGCCCTTCAGCGGGAGTTCGCTATGAAGGACCTTGGTGAACTGCATTACTTCCTTGGTATGCATGTTCAGTCGAAGGGTGATGGCCTTCTTCTTTCTCAGCGACAATATATGCTAGACATTCTTGATCGCGCCGGGATGACAAAGTGTAAGCCGTGTTCCACTCCAGTTGACACCAATCCGAAGATTGCTGCAGCAGATGGCACCCCTGTCTCTGACCCTTCAGACTTTCGCAGCCTCGCTGGAACCTTACAGTACCTAACGTTCACCCGGCCGGATATTGCATAGGCTGTGCAGCAAGTCTGTCTTCATATGCATGACCCTCGTGAGCCTCACCTTGCAGCTCTGAAGCGGATTCTGCGCTATGTTCGAGGCACTCTCCACCTTGGTCTCCTGCTGCAACCGTCTACTTCGGCTGATCTTGTCGTCTACACCGACACTGATTGGGCTGGTTGTCCAGACACCCGCAAGTCCACCTCGGGTTATGCTGTGTTTCTTGGCGACAATCTTGTCTCCTGGTCCTCCAAGCGCCAGAACACGGTGTCAAGATCCGATCTTTGAAGCCGAGTATCGCTGTGCGCCAATGGAGTTCTTGAGGCCACACAGTCTGCGCCCGACTTCTTCTAGAGCTGCATGCCTCTCTCTCTCGCCGCCACACACGGTGTATTGCGACAACATCGCGTCGCTCTACATGACCTCCAACCCGATCTGACATCGGCCGAACCAAGCACATTGAGATTGATCTTCACTTCGTCCGGGAGCGAGTCGCCATTGGTGATCTTCGTGTTCTGCATGTTCCCACTTCTTCACAATATGCGGATATCTTCACCAAAGGGCTGCCTTCTTCAGTGTTCACGGAGTTCAGGTCCAGTCTAAACGTGCAGAGTGGCTGACGATTCGACTGCGGAGGCGTGTTAGAATAGGCGCCTATGGGCTGGTCATGGGCCTGGCGCCCAAGCCTATCGGCTGGGCTGCCTCTAGGGATTATGGTAGATGATTATTGATTAGGCAAGGATCACCGTTGATTGGGTGTTTCTATAAACCCTTCCTGATCCTTGCCTATATAATGTACTCCCTGTACCCATATCAATCTATCACAATTTCCCGAGACCTATTCGCTCTCAATGGGAAAGCAGATTTGGCTCGCCTTGCCCATGCTCCAGTTTGATAGGTAATGCACGGCCAGGTGAGGAACTGCTTGAGCTAGCAATAGCAGGTGAGAAACTGCTTGAGCTAGCAATAGTAGGTGAGAAAGAATAGTAATATTGTTCCAATCAAGATAATCCTGGCAAGCACCACAGCATTTAGCAAGAAAAATGGTCCTAGACTAGAAGCAACGGTACATATTCATGTCTGGAGATAAGGTTCAATTTGCTACATACTGAGACAACCAAATTACATTAAATTCCAAGATAGAACAGAGTGGCAGCTAACAAAAAATAACCAAATGTGCCCACTGAAATAACTAAAGCCACAGAGAATATAAAAACATAAGAACTTGCTTAAAAGAACAAGATGTAACAAAAACCTGATTCCCACGGACTCCTTTATTTAGATTCTGAAAATTCCGCTCTAAAATCCACTTGTAGTACCTAGTAAAAAACCAAAAAAATTAGCCTCAATGTAAAATAAGGGCACATTTGACAGCTCCAAGGTCCATGCAGGGTTTGGAGCTTGTAGGAAAATTAGAAAATTAAAAGGTTTAAGAATGCGGGTTCCATCCAAACTAATAAGAAAACTTATAAAAAACAAAAAAAAGAGGTTCAAGAAAATTAGCATGGAGTACTCACTGTTTCTGAAGGGGTGACATCTCGACACGTAGAATCCTCTCAATTTTAGGAGGTAAAGACTTCTCAACATCTTTTATAACCCGCCGTAGAATATGAGGCCTCAATTCCTTATGCAAATTCGCAAGCTACAAGAAAACCGGCAAAAGAAGTTATGGGAAAACTAACATATTATATGCTGATCAGCGAAGATAAAGCTTTTATTTGAAACACTACCTCAGTTTCGTTGAACGAACTCAAATTTTTGTATCTCTCAACAAAACTATCCTTGCTGTTGAATTTGACTGGATCAAGGAAATGAAGTAATGCCCTAAAAAAAATCTCAGAAACAAAGGAAAAATGAAGGATTAAAAAGGATTAACAAAACTGAATCAGCCCAGATGTAGCAACTGCGAACAGATTGCTGTTTTTTTAAAATAATATAGCTCCACATAAAAGATGACATGTCCGCATATAATATAAGTTAACTATTATAACTCCACATAAAAGATGCCGTACCAAAGCTCTTCCACACTGTTCTGCAAAGGTGTTCCAGTGATAAGCAGCTTGTTCTTAGTGCTGAATTCCTGTAGAAGCAATACAAAATTAGTCTAATCTAATCCCAGTAAAAGTTACATGATACAGAAGCTAAGAAATTGTTTCATACCAAAAGGGTTGTATACAGTGACGCTTCACAATTTTTCAACCGGTGGGCTTCATCAACCATAAGATAGTTCCATTTGATCTTGGAAAGAACCGCTTTGTCCTTGAGAATCACCTCGTATGTAGTTATCAATGTGTGGAATTTTACATGACGCCCACCCTTCTTGTCTGAAAAAATTTCATGCTGCTGGCACATCTGTGGCAAATAGCAAAAAGATACAACCAAGGTGAACAAAACAAAACTAGAAAGTGTATTATTAGTTAGAATTTTGTGCCTTATGATTCCTCGAGCCAACTAATTCATATTTTTAACTAAAAACAAATATAACACAAGCAAAAAGAATGAGAAAGGAGGCAAGAAAAAAAAAACAATTCCATACCCTAAAGAAAAGCAAAAAAAAAAAAAAAGCAAAATGCTACGCACATCAATATATAGAGTTTTTGAGCAGAGATTCATGTTACAAAAAGGTTTCATTTCAATGACATGTGATGTTAGCATAACATAGTCCTGTTTTGAAGAAAGACAGGAAGCTCTGTGGGGTCTTTGGAAACTAAGAAATGCTATGGGCCTGTTTGGTTGGGTGGCTAACACCTAACCAGGCTCCACGAAGCCACTTTTGGCTTGTTTGGTTGCCAGTTTAGAGCCCGAAGCCAGGCTCCAGGAAGCCACCCACCACCCTTTAGCCAGGCTCCAGAAAAACGCAGGAGGTGGTCGTTTTCTGGGAGCCAGGCTTGGCTAAGCACCGGTACGCGTTCTCCTCACACCCCCCCATCTCACCCGCGCACCCCTCCTTCCTCGCGACGCATCCGCTCTGCTCCTCCTCCGGCGCTCCTCGCCGACGCATCTGCTCTGCTCCTCGTCACCTCCCATCTCACCCGCATCTGCTGTGCTCCTCCGGCGCGGCGGCACGCATCTGTTGTGCTCCTCCTCCGGCGCGGCGGCACGCATCTGTTGTGCTCCTCCTCCGGCGCGGCGGCCCGCATCTCCTCCGACGGCCCGTGGTGGGAGGAGCGGCGGCCTGCACCAGCTCCTCCTCCGGCACGGCGGCCCGCATCTCCTCCTCCAACGGCCTGCGGTGGGACGTGCGGCGACCTGCATCAGCTCGTCCGCAAAGGAGAGCCAGGGCGTGCCGTGGCCGTGCGCGCTTGCGAGCTGTGGAGAAGACGGGAGGGAGGAAGCAGGCAGCAGAGATGGAGGTGGGGTTCCTGGGTCTGGGCATCATAGGCAAGGCAATGGCGGCCAACCTCGCCAAGGTATTTGCATCGGAGCCGCTGCGCCCGCGCCGGCATCCTCTTGTTCGCCTCAATCCGAATCTGTCCCCTCCCGTCCCGATTAAGCCCTGCAACATGCAAATGACCCCGGGTGCTGAGCTTGGAGGATCTGAATATCTGATAACGCTGTCCTCGCCCAAGGTAGTAGCAATGCGCATGCACTGCCTTGTCCCCTTAATTCTCTGCTCTCATTGCCCACTGAATTTTAGTCATGTCTACGTTTTACTCTGATTTCTGTGATGTAAATTCTTGACTGGTTATCAGTCAGGTTGGTTCACATGCCTCTCCTCAATGATGGTTGCAGATATGTTTGTGTGCTAAATCATATGAATTTTTGTTGTTATTTCATTGCTCAAATGGACTTGATTGATCTGGATCGAGGCACTCACTGAATGCAGACCCTTTAAGCAGAACTCAAACTCCATCAACCTGCTATATACTAGACCTTTGAATAGCAGGAAGTAGAGGAACTTTGGCAGCATGTTAGTTTTATGAGACTGCAAATACAGCATGGCATGTTCCAACCGATTCAGTGGTATGTGGTGTCATCTCCATCGCTGACAATCTCCATTCGCGTGGCAGTGTGCGCATGACGCCGGCGGCGAGGTCGTCAACCTGCTGTCGTGCTCTCCGAGGATGCCCAATAGAGAGGGGTAAACTTACCAAGTCAAGGAAGGGGTGACTCTATGCAAAGCAAATCAGGCAACCAAACACATCATTTGCTAGCCAGACTTAGATAGCACAGACAACCAAACAACTAGGGGTTGGCTTGGCGGGAGCAGGCTAAGGCTGCCCAGGCTAGGATTCTAGCCAGGTTAGAAATAGACCAGGAAACCAAACACACCCTATGTGTTTTCAGAACTTTGTCTGGAAGGAATATGAATATGGCACTGCTAAAGATTGCTGTCATGGTGCAAAGTTGGAAACTGCTTTGCCCTCACGACAAGCTCCAGTTGTTAAACTCCAAAGTTGGAAGAGCTAAAGAGGTTGGCGTCTATGCCATCCAGGATTTCTGGCAGGACAAGGTATCAAGGCCTGAAGATAGCTTCGTGTATGAGAACACAGGTGACTGGACCCCCAAGGACATGGACTTACTACTTCATTTGAAGAGGCAGTCAAGTCAGGGAAGTGGCGCAATCTAGTGGTTTTTGGTCTTTGTGGAGCATAGGAAGTTCTGTGCAATTCTTGGTTGTTTTTGTGGTCATCAGTCTTTTGGTTATGGTTGGGGAGGTGAATGGTGACTGTCCTGCACTTGTTGAATGCTGTAAATGTTGACGGTCTTCAGCTTTGCTAAGACTGAGGTTAATCCCTTAAACTCTAAAAAAAGAAAGACAGGAAGGTTTGACAGTTCTTTTGGCTATTCAATTTTCCTCGGCTTATCATATTGGTTTCTCTAAACTTATCAAAATCATAAAACGTGGCATGGAAGTAATACATACATCATAGAAAGTGATCTAGGTTAAAAGTCATGATGTTGTTGAGTTGTCACAAAAAATATAAACCAGGTAAATTCCATAAGATATTATTCTATTGTATCAGCCTTTTACATTCCTAACTAATATTTCTTTTTTACGAAGGCTTTTAATTTCTAACACTATGCAATTTACAAGCTGATATCTAAAGTTACTAGCCAATTCAAAATATTCATACAGGAGGAGCAGTCTCTCTTACAGATGATATGAAATACTAGTGCTAACAGCGAATAAATTAATTCTCAGCACTAACAATAATTGGTATTTTCAGGTAAAGTTTATATTTAGCAAAAAATAATAATATACTATTTTAGTCGATAATTCTTGTTGCCAACATTTGACGATGGCAGCTAGATCACATACAAAAAACAGATGGAGAACTGATTTGATAGTTTTATATACCTCTCTGCTGGCACGGTTGCCAACATAAATGACAACATTCATGTTGGGCAGCCACTTTCGAAATTCCTTTGCCCAGTTCGACAATGTTGACAGTGGCACAACTACAAGAAATGGGCCATTGATTTCTTGAGCATTCTGCAACAGATATGTCAGATATTAATATTAAAAGACAAATTCATTCATCATAATGATGACAAGCAAATACAATGAGAAATAATTACATGAAGGAAGCCAAGCATGGAAACAGATTGGATAGTTTTTCCCAGACCCATTTCATCAGCAAGTATAACATTAGTATCGTTTCTCCACCTGTGACACCAATCAAACAATCAGAAAACAAAGTATTTGTATTATGTTGTGCATATATGTACATTCATATTGATCTTACGTACCCATTGACAAGAAAGTTTAGTCCTTCCAACTGATAATCACGAAGCTTGCCAGCTTTTAGCCATTCTGGCTGGTCATCAAGCCTCCTCAAACTAGCTGGAAACGTAAAGTTCGATTCAGATAAACTCAACAATAGTGATCCACTGGTGCTAGAAAAGGTACATTGGATCCCATAAAAACCCAAAGAAAAGGGTAAGCCAATGCAAATCCATATTCAAACTATGACCAAAAGAACATTGTAGATTTCCGAGCTATAAGGATCACTTAATTTGATAACATCACATCATAGTCATGGTAAATAGCATACTAATTGAAGACTTTATAACAAAGAACAAAGGTGAAAAACTACACAGAAGGAACAAAATAGCATAGAAGAGTTTTTAACTAGTATGTCTTATGTATTAACTATTTCCTGGACCAAAAGTAAGTAGGAATGTGTTACCTTTGCTTTTCTTTCGACCAAAAGTAAGTAGGAATGTGTAAAGCCAGTCATGATACAAAATTACACGCTTAGGTACACCTTGTGCTTTTCTTATATCAATTGCAAATCTACTGTTTTTTTCCCCAAGTATAGCTAATGCATACTAATTAAACAGTAAAGGCATTTCTATTTCTTACAACAAGCCTCCACCATTTAAAATGTGTAAAGATCATCACACATAATCATGATCACAAAATTTGTGTTTATGATCGAAGCATCCATAACAACAACAACAACAACAAAGCCTTTAAGTTGGGGTAATTACAGAAGCTTGTATAGGGTACTGAGTACTTCTTACCTTTAGGATTCCACTATTCATCAATTGCATCTTGAGCAAAAATCTATATCATGTAACTCGATCCTTCTTGTATGCCCTGAAACCAGCGCAACACATACGCATTTCCGCGACAACAATATGTCGCACCAAAATTCTCGCACCATACAACATAGCAGGTCAATCGTAAAACTTGAGACTAATGCACCAGACTACTTCATCCAACAGTAAAGGCTAACATCTTCATCAATTTTCTTGACCTTCCAACTAACATCTTCCTCCTCCCGAGATATTAACATCCACCAGATAGAAAACCTATAAAGTCTCCCGCCATGTGATTCACTCCTGTCCGGCTTTCAAAGATCATCACACATAATCATACCCTCTGAATCAACAGAAACAGATATATTGTGTTTATGTAGTCCTATCCTAATCGGGAAGTCATCCGTGTCTCATCACTTGTTCGAACTCTAGTCACAACATTGTTGTACATGTCCTGTGCAAAATGTTTGTCCAAAGTCCAAATAATCATAACCATAAAACTGGAACTGGATTCTTTTTCATGCCAATCTTTTCTTCAACGTACCCTAATCGGGTCTCATGTAGGAAAATTTATCATAAGCCTCTCCATAATAAAAACCATTGTAGGTCTTCTTTTCTCCCTATACCGCTCCATAACCAAGGGAAATGGCTTCCATGGTTGACCTTCCGGCATGAAACCAAATTACCAGGTAGATTCTGCATAAGGAAGTCCCATGCCATTTGACTAAATATTCGGATAACCAGATCATCTCCATCAGCTTTGACCCTATCAGCAAATATCCGTTCAACCTGAAGATTCAATGTTAGACAATAGGCAAAGCGATAATGAACAGTGTATATCAATAGTCAACCTGACTATATTGTTTAATAAGATCCAGCTCCATCTCCTTGCCCACATCATGCACCTCAACCTGATATGAATATGTTGGCATAACCAGAGAAACATATCAAATTAATGCCAATATTTTGCCAAGTAAAAGAAGCACTAATTAATAGCACGGAATATAAACCTAACATTGACTTAATTTTGAACATCATCAAAATAACTACTATGCAAAAAACAGGAACCTTCCATAACAGGAAGAGGCACAAACATTTCCTTTACATTTTGAAGTTTTACCATAGAGTTAGTATTTATATTCTGGATGCTAAGATACAAAAGGTGTCATGCTTCAATTCATGTTAAATTTGAAATGAAAGGTCTACTGGTTTACCTCTTCACGTGATAGTGCCCTCTTGTACCTCTGTTCCTCGGCAACTCTTTTCGTGTAATTTATTACCTTCTTGAATCCACTAACCTGTCATGTAGAGGTTATATGAATGAAAGCAGATTTAGAAAGAACAAAGACAAAGGATTAAGCAAATACACCTAACTAACATACAGGTAACATAATCTATATGTAGTCTACATAAGTACTTACATTTTGGAGTTCTGATAATGTCTTCCATTGACAATGCAGGTAAGACTGGCCTTTCCATTTTATATAGAACTCTAATTCATCCCACTGTTGATTGAAATCCGATGTTAGGCTGACAACAGTAGGTTGAGCTGACTGGTGATTCCTTATTGCCTCTTCAGCTACACCCTTGGGTTGATGCCAAAGAACTTTTTCGATTGTTTCTCCATCTTCCTCTTCAGGCTCCTCCTTCATGAGCTAGATTACATTAAAACTTGTTAAGATGGCCATAATATATATGGATTTTTTATTTAGGCGATCAGAAGAAAGTAACTTAAATTAACACCGTAATAACGATGCCTTAGACAACAAAATAGAGAGGAAAGTTTAGAAGACAGATATCTAGATTCTCTATTGTCAAAGAAACAACTTAAAAGTGAGGATCAGGAACCGAATGACAACATTAAGAATATAATACATATGCAACTCCAGCCTGATAACAAGCCATAAATGACAAGAACTAGTTTGCCAGTTATCCATTATGATTCCTCAGTGACAAAATTGCTATTTCACTAATAGTTTGTATTGAGCTCACCTTTTGTTGTTTAGTTGACTTCTCCTCACTATCATCACTTTCTTCGCTTTCAGCATATGAGATCTTTTTCACCGTCCTCCTCCTTCCAGAAGTTCGAAGCTCATTATGAGAATTGATTGGGGCAACGTCACTGCGGCCCACAGGTTTCTGATGCAACCTGTCAGGTTTTTTCGATCTGTGTTTGAAATCAGAATCGCTGGGAACATCTGAGTCTTTTCCTGAAGAATATTCTTCATCACTGTGAGACACCCCTCGTTTTCGTTGAGCTGGCATGGGCAACTTTCTTCCCTTGGAAGTTTTAGTTGCTACAATCTTAAGTCGTTTAGGTTGCCTCCGATTCTCAACAAAATCATCATCTTCATCATCTGAGAGTTCAAGATCATCATCGTCATCGCCATCAGAATTCTCACTATCCATAAACTTATCCTGTGAGTGGAATGTTTCAGAGGGTAGATAATCAAGCAAAAATATCCAATAGCTCAAATACAAAAAAACGAATAACATTAACTTGATAAATTTCCTTGAATGGGCCAATAGAAAACTCAGCAATCCAGAAGAAAACACAATAACATAGCTGTAAAACTATTTTTATATTAAAAAAAATAGGGCCTTAGTGGACAATTTATAGGCTGAAAAGCGGAGGGGGGGAGTTCATAATCTGTACTCAGATGATCACAGTACAAATAAATAAGCACTCTAAAATGCTGCAGAACTGGTCACACGAGAAAGGTCAAGTACATTAGAATGACACCAAAAGGTCCAAATAGAACTACTCCAGGACTCGGTTAGAAACAACTGCAGACTGCAGCTGATGCAGTTAAGATGGCCCACAGAAATCATGTTTAGCATATTTTATCACCTCGTTCAAGAATACAACAACAACAACAACAACAACAAAGCCTTTAAGTCCCAAACAAGTTGGGGTAGGCTAGAGTTGAAACCCAGCAGAAGCAATCAAGGTTCAGGCACGTGAATAACTGTCTTCCAAGCACTCCTATATAAGGCTAAGTCTTTGGGTATATTCCATCCTTTCAAATCTCCTTTTATTGCCTCTACCCAAGTCAACCTCGGTCTTCCTCTGCCTCTCTTCACGTTACTATCCTGGCTTAGAATTCCACTACGCACCGGTGCCTCTGGAGGTCTCTGTTGGACATGTCCAAACCATCTCAACCGGTGTTGGACAAGCTTTTCTTCAATTGGTGCTACCTCTAATCTATCACGTATATCATCGTTCCGAACTCGATTCCTTCTTATATGACCGCAAATCCAACGCAACATACACATTTCCGCGACACTTATCTGTTGAACATGTCGTCTTTTCGTAGGCCAACATTCTGCACCATACAACATATCAGGTCTAATCGTCGTCCTATAAAACTTGCCTTTTAGCTTCTGTAGTACCCTTTTGTCACATAGGACACCAGATGCTTGCCGCCACTTCATCCACCCTGCTTTGATTCTATGGCTAACATCTTCATCAATATCCCCGTCTCTCTGTAGCATTGATCCTAAATATCGAAAGGTATCCTTCCTAGGCACTACTTGACCTTCCAAACTAATATCTTTCTCCTCCCAAGTAATAGTGCCGAAGTCACATCTCATATACTCAGTTTTAGTTCTACTGAGTCTAAAACCTTTGGACTCCAAAGTCTCCCGCCATAACTCCAGTTACCAAAGAGCCAAATCCATCCAAGGTTCTGACCATTCACATGAATTTTGCTTGCATAAGTTTATTCCATATACTATGAATATGTTTCCTCTAGATTACCTATCTGATGCTAAGAGATAATTTGAGTTCTTGGGTCTATTATACCAACTGAAGAAACAGTCCAATTTTACGTAAGTTGGAGTTCAACTAAGGCACTATTTTTAATATCACCAGCTCAAATTCATAAACAATATATATGTAAACAACTTCATAACCGGGAAGCAGCATATAGATCTTGAACATAGTTGTAACAAACTTTCACTACACAAGCTAACCCAAATAATAAAAGGAGGATGTAGCTTAACATGTGGAAACTGTAGCATGTTACACTTATATGCCATTCCATGCAGAGCAATTAAGTAAATAGATGACCTTATCAGTAGCCTTGTCTGTTTCGCTATCTGGCTCAAAATCCACGTCAGCAGGATCATCTTCTACAAATATAAGAAGAAAAAATGCCAATCAACTTGGGTTGTAACACCATGTATACAGACACAAATAAAGCAAAAACACATTTATTTTGTTAAGCACAAGACTCCATATTTCAATATACCATCTGCATCATTGTCATCGTCATTCTCATCATTATACTCATCGTCGTCGTTGTCGTCATAAGCATTGTACTTTGACGTCTTCGTCATTTGTCGTGAGCCAGACTTTGCTGCTCCACCAGAAGTGGAACAGCTTGATTGCTTTGTCCCGCCGCGATGCAACGATTCAATCTGCTCCTCTCCGTCCTGCTCGTCATAGTCATCAGAGAGCATTTCCTCAGCAGGCACCTCACCATTTGCTCTGTTCAGTTCATCATCCTCTCCGCTACCATCCATGTCATCATGCGAGCTAGCAGCATCCATTCCCCTACCACTATTCGATGGAACTTCTCCGGCCGTCTGTTTGGACCTGGAATCCTTCAGAAAATTTGTGCCCCATGGACCACCAGATGATCTGCCTCCTCTCTGGGCATGCTGCCCTGATGCGTTCTCAGAAGAGTACAAACCTGACTGGCCAGCCTCATATTGCTCTGCTTCGCTGTGGTAGGCATCCTCTGCTTTCTCATTTAAGTTCCACTGCCTAGAGTTCAGGTCAACATTCCCATCCCGGACTGACTCATAGATGCCCTCATCATCAGCCTTTTCATTCAAGTTGTACCCTCCTGAATCGGCCTTGCTCCCAGAGTTGCTGAAGAATGCCATCACAAATTATGGCATTACATGGAATGCCTCTCGCAGGCTCAGTATCACTCCTGCAGTTCATGAAACGAAGTCAATTTAGAACGTGGCTAGTGATCAATATATGTCGTGCCATAAAGAGGGCAATCCAACTAGAATCTAATCAATTTTCTAATGTTTTTTGTTAGGGGTTGATCGTTTGAATGCCAAATGGATTAAAAGTTTTAGGCGAGGGACGTGACTCGACCCCAGCTCTAATCCAAATCGAGCAGCAGAAGCAGAGATACACCGGTGAGCAGCCTCGAGCGCGCAGAATCCAAACTGTATTCCGAAACCCTAAATCCCAAACGATTGACGCGCGGCCGAGCAGATCGGCGCGTGCGGCGGCCAGATCGAGCTGCCGCCGGCGCGGATCGGGCGGGCGGCGCTCGAACCGACGCCACATCACGCGCGCCCATGCCTCGGAACCAACCACTGCCCACAAAAACCCGCGAGGTGGCAAGGGGACGCACCTCGTGCCGCGGCCGACGAGAGGAGCAGGAGGAGGCGGGCGGGCGGGCGGAGGGCGGGCGACGGGCGCTCAGTCCTCGCGACAGAGACGAATGCTCGGACCGGCACGCAGCGGGGTTTCTGGCTCGCCGCGGGGCGCCTATCGGTGTGCGCGATCGCCGTCGCCGGCGGCCGCGGGGGCGGGCGGCGGGAGGGGCGCAACGCCCGTGCGATTTATTCAAAAAGGACCGGGCGAAGTTCCGCGATTTTTTGCGGTATTTTCTGCGATTTTTCGCCTAGGATTCGGATCGGAGGCGGGGCGGGAGGGGGGAAGGACGGCGGCGATCGCCGGAGACGGGCTCCCGGCGGGGCGGGGCGAGGCAGCGCGGCGGTGGCGGCGCGCGAAAGAGAGGGGGGGTGGTTATCTATCACAAAGGGGTAGATGTCTCCCGCAGCCGTGACTCAAAATACATGACACGTGTGCTACAGATAAAAGATTTTTTTTTTTGTCTTCTCCAATAATATAACATACAAGACAATCATAAGAAGAGAGGATACTCAGATTTAGGTTATACCACTCCTAACACCCAAAATAAATCTTCTATATAGATACTTTGTTGGAGGCTATAAATATTTTGCTATAGGTATCCTGCTGGAGATCCATTTTGAGTTTAGTTAGACTATCTCCAACAACAACACCCAAAATACAAGACTCATTCATCCTTTGGGTAGCGCTACAGGCAAAAGGTTCAATACATATTCGACATCTTCTCCAACAAAAAAAAAAAACAAAAGAGAATTATTTCTGCAAATTGGTTTTTATGAGAGAATGTTCATATTTGGGTTGTGCCTCTCAGACAACCCAAAATAGGTCTTCCATATAGGTACTCTGTTAGAGACTGATTTTGAATCTCTTGCTACCCATTTTGGATTTAGGTGCCATATAGATTTCTTGTCGGAGACAGTCTTATCCTAATAAATCTCCTGTTGGAGACAGCCTAAAGCGATTAGGAAGGGCAGATAAGTTTTTCCCCTCTCTCTGTCTGCCTATCTCTCTCTCCGGCTCTCGCATTTTCGCTCGTGTATTTGTCTCCGTCGCGTTGGGGGGCTCGTTGTGGCAGAGTATTTCGGGGCTCGCTCGTCTCTGGACGTCTCTGAATTCGCTGGTGGGGCCAACCAGTAAGCGACGCATAGAGGTGGGGTTGGGGGTGCAGCGCAGGCCGCCTCATGGGAGCCACGTCACCGGTGTGTTCTCCGAATGGCGTGTGGGGTCGGGATCGGGGTGGGGGTGGCGTGTCAGGGACTGTTAGCCTCGTGGGTACCGCGACGTGCATTGGTGTGCCTAGCGGCGTTCGTAATTTCTAGAGGGTTGTGGCCCAAACGAACGGTTCACGACCCCACGCTTTCCACTAGGAGAGAGAGGGGCCCTATTGCCAGGTTTGGTGCGCCGATGTGGCGAGAGCTTGGGCCATCTATGTTTTCTCTCTGATGGCAGGTCCATCTTATCTACGGAGTATATTGCTCAAGTTCCCCTCAAAAAAATCTATGTTGCTCAAGTGCATGCTACCATTTCTGGTTCCAATGGAACACCGTCGAGTGCTGATGTATTCAAAATAAGTTTCGAGAATTTTCATTGCATTAAATTTCAGTTTGAGGTTATTCCATGTGAATATATATGATTTACAGAGGCAAAAGCAATGTGTATGGACCATACGTAGACCCGAGGAGTACACAATGGAAAATTCACGAAATTTTCATGGGGGCGTGGTTGATTTCATCGCTCGGCATTGTGTGCCCTACCGAGCGAGAATCCCAAGCCAGCCTACACGTTGGGTTTGCTTGCTTGCACGTCTGGAGCTCGTGCTAGCAAGATTCGGCTCGCTAGCGTGGGAGAGCCAAAATAGCTCGCTTGTCTAAGCGAGCTTCTCGTGGCTCACGCCGGTAGGGCGAGGCGAGAGTGGACGAGGTGCTGTTGGGAACCAAACGCACCCTAAATATTCTGACATGACATAATAGAAATGAAGAAAGAGGTGTAGAAGTTTCATGGGATGAAATAGTTTTATGGAGGTGAAACTTGCTTACACTGTTTCTAAGGTATGAGAGCCTTGGAAGCTAGGACATAAAACTCCTATTGACACTAGCCCAAGAGCATCTACCAAAATCTTTCTTAAACCCACTCTCTAAATCATCATTTAGAGAGCCATTTGAATAAAATCGCCATTTATATCTTCCACCATCCAACAAATTTTTTATACCTTGTGCGCTCTCTAGAGAGCGAATTTCACTCACCATCTTTGACTAGGGAAGAATCTGGAATAGATGATTACAATATTTACAGATCCAATTATGCTCAAATGTATTTCTTTTACCTAAATTTTTATTCCTATCAATAAGGAAGGATATAGAGAGACCCTTGAAGTTGCTAGGCAACGATCTCATAGGGTTGAGTTGACGCCTAGGAGGGTGATGACCTCATGGGGTGGCAACCTCCAAGGCACATGAACGGACAGGCACCAAGGCGATGACCTCACATGTCCTCATCAGCTTGCTGCAAGGTGACTCGGCGCAAATATTGAAAGGTCCTAAATGGCTAGAGGGGGTGAATAGCCTATAAAAATTTCTACAACAACACTGAAGCCAAGAGGTTAGACAACCAAATGGTGTAAAGCAAGTTTTGCACTAGCCTCTAAAAATACAAGCCACCTATCCATAATACTAGTTATCTATGATCTCTATATCAAGCAATGGCTAAGTCACTAATTGCTAAGTTAGTGAGCTCTTAAAAACTAGGCTAAAGAGCCTCACTAACTAAACTACTTGACAAACAAGCTAGCTCTCAAACTAATTACACTAAAGAGCTTAGCTACACTATAATATAAATACACAAGAGAGGTAGAGGCGATTATACCATCGTGGCAAGTGATCAATCACAATGTATCAATGAAAACCAATGAAATCCACGGATATAAGATGACACAATGATTTTTCACTCGAGGTTCACTTGCTTGCCAGCAAACTAGTCTCTGTTGTGGCGATTCACCCACTTGGAGGTTCATGCGCTAATAGGCATCACACGTCTAACCCGCAATCGGGTGCCGCACAACCAACATAAGATGGAAATCACACAAACCACGAGCAATCCACTAAAAATGCCTTTCATGATCTCCCACAGGGAAGACTCAAGAACCCCTCACAATCACCACGATCGGAGCCAGAGATAAGCACCTTCCTTCGCTCGACGATCCTCGCTGCACCAAGCCATCTAGGCGGCGGCAACCACCAAGAGTAACAAACGAATTCTGTGGCAAAACGCAATCACCAAGTGCCTCTAGATACAATCACTCAAAGCAATGCACTTGGACTCCAATCTTACCAAATGATGAATCAATCAAGCAAGATGAGTTGGAGAGGAATGTCTAGGCTCATTAGGGTGTATTCTCAATAGAAATGGTCAAGAGAGTGAGCCATGGCCGGCCAACCTCTATTTATAGAGGGCTCAAACAAATAGAGCCGGTGGCCTCCTTACTACACAATTTTTGGGGCGACCAGACACGCCGGTCAAAGTGCATCCATGGCCACGTGTCCATGTGATTCAACGAAGCCCATCGATCTCTAATGGTCAAACCGAGCCACGCCAATGGTTAAGTCAAGACCGAATGCACAAGAGCGAGACCGGACGCGCTAGCTGAAAGGTCCTTGTTTGGTTTTGGTAATTAAGTGACAACCTAGGTGGACTAATGTGTTTAAATATGAAATACACAGGTGATTAGTCTATAGGTACACTTGTGTGAGCAACTCATGCCATGACGGTGAAGATGGCTTGAATTTGTTGCAAAGCTCACATATGTGATGAAGGAGCTCATTGCATATAAGATATGACATTGAGTCATGTGTCTAAGGTGGAGAAGATCAAGACAAGATTTAGCTTGATAGACCGGTTGCAAGTGTGAAGGGCAAGTTGAGTGATGACTTGGCACCGATGGACCGAAGCAATGGGTGAAGAACAAGTAAAGTCAAGATTGATGAACCAATAATGTCACGTGATGATATGAAGTGGATCATATCATTTATGATTGGTTGGTGCATGTGTTACATCAACATTGAAGAAGATGGAATGGAATGCGCAAGGCAAAGGTATAACCTATAGGACATTTCATTTCACCGGTCTAAGTTGATTAGAGAAGTGCTTTAACGGATTTAGGATAGATATCCGTACTATAAAGAGGGAAAATATTTTAGTTGCAACAGTTATCTAGTGCCACTAAGTGTGAGTCTTATTTGCATATACATTGCGCTTAGTGACGTGGTGAGGTGCAAGAGAAAAGCCTTTCAAAATGATTGAGAAATGCTAACTCACAAACTTGACTTGTTGGAACACTTGGTGGAGTTGAGCACATTGAAAAGGCCTTAAAATGAAGTTTGGTGGACTGTTTCTGTGTTCCTCGAAATTTCCAAGCTTGTCTCGGAATGTCTGAGAGGGTCAGAATATCCAAAGAAATTTCCGACCAGCCTTCTCTGTTTGGTTTGCGATTTTT